GTCTGCTGTTTCTGGCATTACAGTTGGCTGTTGTGGAGGACTGAAGTGATGAATTAAAAGCAGCTGCAGAAATCTTTTTTATTAAAAAGCTTAAAATAACCTTTGATTTAATAGATTATAAAGCCAGAAGGGACCATTATGGTCATCTAGTCGGAGCTCCTGTATAACATGGGCCATAGGACTTATTGGAATTAATTCCTGTTTGAACTAGAGCACATCCTGGAGAAAGTCCTCCAATCTTGAGCCCATTTTAGGCGGGCTATAGTGGGGACTCAGAGTCTAGGTCCTGAGTTCCCTAGGTTGCCAGACTTGCACCCTATTATTGTATTCTCCTATTCTGCATATAGGGTATTTCTTAGCTCCCTTAAAATCCCATCATTTCCTGAGGCTTCTTGCCTAGCTAGTCCCAGTCCTCATCCCAGCTGAGCTCTGTCCCTAGCTAAAGAGAGCTCTGTGGTAATTAACCCTTAAATTAGAACTGGACAAAAATATTTAAAACAAAACAAACTCATTTTGAGGCAGTGGAAAAATCATTGAAAGGATTTTCCATTTTTTGACAAGCTATACAATTGGTCAATTCTTTTTTTTTAAATGTCCATTTTGGAAAAAGGCTTTAAAATAAAAATTAAGGGTTTTTTCCACAACTGCCTCTACATTGCATGTATTGAATGGGATAAAAGGAACTCTTAGGGACCACTTTGCCTAATTATAGAAATGTTTCTAGTAATAAAAAAGAACTAATTAAAAAACAGAAACGCTTCTCAATAGAATAACTAGACTAAGCCCTTGGTGAGACTCCCCTGTACTTGTCATTGACTTCAGTGGAGATCTCTGACCCACGGTTTGTCATGAACCCGCTGCTGAAATGTTAACTCTGCAGTGGCTTCACAAAGTAACTAACTTGTCTGCACCACTCAACAAATAAAATGAAACTAAGTACAGCTCTAAAATAGTGCCTGGTCTGTAGTTAAAACACCCAGCTATCCCCAGACAAATCTCACTGTCCATCCAGTTCAACTTACTGAGGCCAATGCTCAACTATAATTGGGGTTATGAAGCAAGTATTCCTGTAAGGCAGGGGACTTGTTAGATAAAAAGGACCTGTATAGCTGGAGGGGATGATTCTGAGGACATAACAGACCTGGTAGATTTGTAGTGATTGTTTTGCTGCATAACTCACGTTGACAATCCTCGGCACATGAAATACCACACTAGTATTCCTATGTTACCTGGAGGGATGTGTCTCTCCGATTTCACTTATGTCAGTAAGAATGATCTATAATCTGAACTCTTTCTCTTTAAGACAGCAATGTCCAATTCTAAACTCTTCTTTACAATTCGGGTCAATATAGCAGCAACCGAGAATCTATATGCAAAGTCACAATGTACAGATCTACCCAGTTTGTTCCTCCAGGCACAGACTAGAACTAATAGTGATGTACAAACTGTGAGGCACTGTGACTCAGATAGCAACCTCAGAGTTGCATTTCTTCCCCTATTAACTGACTGCTTCTACTAGGGAGACCAGATGTTCCAATTTTTATAGGGACAGTCCGGTTATTCGGGGATTTGTCTTAGATAGATGCCTACTACCTCCCATCCCCTGTCCCAATTTGTCCCACTTGCTGTCTGGTCACCCTAGCTGCTATAGGACACCAGTCCATCTACACTGGCTCAACCCATTCCCTAGCCATTTGCTCCAGGGAGATGAATAGAGCCGCTTAGTCCTAAACACATGGACATTAATGTCCAGGTAACTCTGACTGGCTGGTACGTAGTCAGAGTTAGAATCTAGCCCTTGGTTTAATTTTACTATTAAAGCTATCAGTTCACTTTCAACTCAGTTGAGGTGGGGATGTTCAGCATTTTAGTCTAGGTCACGAGTGAAAATGAATTGTATTCTCATCATAAACTATCATAACTTTGCCAGACTGCAAATGAGTAGTGGTGTAAGAGCAAGAAGAACAAAGTTAATTGAACTCACGGTGTAATAGGTGAATTAAATTTCTTGCTCTTTGTGCCTACTCTCCTCTCTTTCTCTTCACTCACCACACACCACCACCACCACCGGATCCCTTTGTTTTGTGCAGTAGTTTGCCTGGGGAGTGCTGAGTTTTTATCATCCCCGGTGAAAGAATTCTTAGCTTTTGCTGGTCAGATCTGGGTGGGTTAGTTGGTGGTTTAGGCACTGGACTGAGACTCCGGGGGTCTGACTTGAAATCCTGGCTCTGCCACAGGCTTCCCATGTGACCTTGATGAAGTCACTTTTTTTTCCTCAGTGCTTTAGTTACCATTCTTTAAAAAGAGTGATCCTTCCTTTCTCCCAACGTTGTCTATTAAGATAGTAAGAGACAGTCACTGATGTTTACAGTGTGTCTGTACCGTTGCTTAGCACAATGGGGCCCTGACCTCCATGAAGGCTTCTAGACATTACTGTAACAAACAATGTATAGTACACAGAGACACTTTATGGTGCCAATCACACAATAGGTTAAATAGACTAATCCTAGAGATCTGTCCAACTTTAATTATAATTGAGGTATTTTATAGTAATTTCTCCTGCTCTGTTGTTCTTGCATGTATAAAAAAATCCCTAGATAATTCACAAGAATCAAAGCAATAAATACACTATAACTTACACTCTTGATTGGGTTTTCTTTTATGGAGGGTATGTGGAAAAGGAAGGCTATAAATCACACTAACTGGTTAACACAACTGAGATACTGTATACTAAATCAGTAAGGCCTCATTTATTTCTAGTCTTAATTCTAATGTCCCCAAAGACCAAATAAATGTAAAACCTGATTCTACTGTAGTAACAATGTCTGCTCATTGAAAAGTCTTATAACACTGTGAAAGTCTGATTCCAAAGCATGCTGCGGGTGGGTGAGCCATTGCCAATGCTGACAGAGATGATAAGTAATTAAGCTCACAAAAGAGGTGGGTTGAACAATGAGAACTGTCCATCTGTCTTTCAGCAGCATTTTCTATTAACTCTTGTTAAATGCTATTTTAAAAATGTAATTGTATTCAAAACTGGATTTTTGGCAGCTTCCTTTTTCACATAGGATACACCCTTATGCCATCCTCTCACTGTGGCATGTGTATTGTTTGGCTTCCAACCACACACACTTAAAAAACCCTCATTTGGATTTGTTGCAAGGAAACATGAAAACATTTATTCAGCAATTCTAGTGCCCGGTATCTCTTTCTAAACATTGGTCACCTTTCACTATCATTAGTAAACTCTACTTTTTTTAATTTAAAGAAATAGAACAATACTTCCTGGTTTTCCTACTGTCTCCCTCTCCTGTGCAAATTCCCTCCAGCCCCATACAAGGGCAATCTGGTTTCCCCCCCATTGTATAACTGATTTTACGTTCTCCTAGGACACAGGCCTTCACCCGGCATAAATTGTGACTGTTTCATTAACGCTATAGCTGAAACTTTTAGCCAGACCCTCAACTGTTATAATCAACATATCTTTATGGAAATCAGTGGAGCTGTGTTGATTTATACCAGCTGAGGATCTGACCCATTGAGTTAAGAAGGGGATTGGATCTGAATCTCAATCTGTTTCTACTCTTTCTATAAAACGTTGTATGTTCCACTCTTGGGTAGTCGCCTATACTGGTACATTCTGATGTGTTATTTTATCACCACTTTCCAAAAGTGTAAATGGCAACACATGGTGCAAGGCAGTGGAGAATCAGGCCCTGTGTGCGCTAATACAGGGTAATAGGCTACTACTATAGTTAAAAAATCATGCATGTAGCATGTGTAAAATATACTTCCTCTATATTTATAAGTATAGGTATACACAGAGAGAGATATGAAGTAGGGTACAAAAGCCCAGTTTTATGGACAGCAGGGAAAATCTGGGCAGCCCAAAGAGGAGGATTGGATTGTTAACTAGTAAAACATGAGTTATGCGTCATGAAAGGCAATCTGAAGCCAGTCAGAGAGCCAGTTACACAGATGACAAGGATTGCATGAGAGAAGGTGCTACGTAGCCTAGTGTGGAGAGTCGGGGAAAGATGAGAAGACATCTGGTGTTAGGGAACAGCCGAGAGATGGGGTCTGGAGGGAGGGTAGGGCAGAACAGTAAGATGGAATTTGAAACAAGAGGGTCAACCCATCTCCTCAGAGTCACTAACTTCTTCTCACATCAAGAAATGGCTGAAACCATCACTTTGGTAAGCCAATGTTAATTGTTAGCAACTTCTCACTTTCAAACAGCATGCCCTGTTAGGGAGAGAATTATTTTACGCTATTGGGGCATTAGCAATATGCTGAAGGCTTAGAAAATAGCACACAAGTGTAAAGTTGCTTTAAATTATAGCTGATAAATTGGAAAGACTGCCAACTCAACATTTGACAAGACTTTGAGAACTTTGCTCTTCATCTGCAACACTAGTCTGATCAAGAACAATACACTTTTTGTGATTAAAATTAAAGCCTCAGAACACAGAACCATTATATCTGTTACCAAAGAAACAAGATGTAATCAAGAATTTTTGTGAGAAGTCACATTTTGTCTATTGTAGCTTCTACATTATTTAATAGCCTCTTAAATTAGTTATTGGTTTAAACAAGATATGTCCACATATTAAGAGGTGCAAACAAAAAAATGGGTAGTCTAAGATAAAACTTGAACATGTGTAATTTTAAAATCTATTAAGGTTTCTAAAATTATTTTGTAAGAACCAGATGCTAACTGGCAGAATTACTTAGAGTAAAGCTAGAACCTTGCTGACCAAAATGGAGACCCCTCAACATGAATATTATAAAAACAATAATTTAATATGTATATTGTGCTGGTACTTAGTGGCTAACCAGATTGGAGGCCCTATTGTGCTAAGTGCTGTACAAACATATGATAGATACCAGCAGGAGGGGTAAGAAGCTTCCACAAATCCAACCTTTTTTCCTATGGATGCAATTAGGAGCTGGTCTAAAGGAAACACTCTCTTATCGTTACTTGCTTCTCTTCCCCATAGCACACCCAAGTGTAGCACTGACACAGCCTAGCTTTTCAGGAGAGGAAGAACAAAAGATTTGTGTGGTTGGTGGTCGCTTCATCCCAGAGCCCTTTAAAAGAAGGGGAGGAGGTGAGTACTTGAAGTGTTTTAACATGTGGCTGTTTATTGCATAGACCACTATGCACACGCTAAATCAACTGCAGTAGCAACCAAAGGCCCTGTCAAGGCTGCTTCCCCACTTTGAACTTTAGGGTACAAATGTGGGGGCCTGCATGAAGACTTCTAAGCTTAACTACCAGCTTAGTTCTGGTCCGCTGCCACCATTCTCAAAAACTAATTCTCTTCCCTGGGTAGCCTTGAGAAACCTTTCACCAATTCCCTAATGAATACAGATCCAAACCCCTTGGATCTTAAAACAAGGAGAAATTAATCAGGTTCTTAAAAAGAAGGCTTTTAATTAAAGAAAAAGGTAAAAATCATCTCTGTAAAATCAGTATGGAAATTAACCTTAAAGGGTAATCAAACTTAAAGAGCTCAGAGGACTCCCCTCTAGTTTTAGGTTCAAAGTACAGCAAACAAAGATAAACACTCTAGTAAAAGGTACATTTACAAGTTGAGAAAACAAAGTAAAACTAAGACTCCTTGCCTGGCTATTTATTTACAAGTTTGAAATAAGAGAGACTTGTTTAGAAAGATGTGGAGAACCTGGATTGATGTCTGGTCCCTCTCAGTCCCCAAGAGCGAACGAACTCCCAAACAAAGAGCACAAACAAAAGCCTCCCCCCCCCCCCCCCCAAG